GACTACCGGTTGATTTATCCAAAAACTTTCCTCCTCTCTCTCCCTCCCATCCCTTCATCCCTGCACCACCAACGCCCGGTAACGGCTCTCCCTTGTCTCCGCCTCTCATTTCCAAAGCTTAACTTCATTGTCTCAAGCCCCTCTCTGCTTTCATCTTAAGACAAAGATTTATGTAAATCTTTGGGCCAGCGTTAATGCGGAGCGCCTTGTGAGAAATAGCATCCCTAAATCGTGGCATTGTTGTTGGAAATGACAAGGCAGGCCCGTTAATCCTACAATGCGATCATCCAAATGTGTCATAATGCCGTGTGTAGGCAGGCGAATCTGAATATCAAAAAAGATGCTGCACACCTCTTATGCGGCGCCTTCAGGACTTCCAGCTCTAACACACTTCTGTCTCCTCCTTCCTCTGCCTCTTTTAAAGAACTCGCCCTGCTTTGTCACCTCGCCTGCATTCAGAAGAGGGAATAAAAAACATGCGAGACGCCTCAGACTTGAGAAATCCTCCTCACGTTGGATACGAGGCTTTGATTTACTTCGATAGTGACGAACCGTGTTTGTATAATTAGGATTTGGAATCAATCGATAGCTTCTGAGATGTATTCATCACAAAATGAGCAATGTGACGTTTTGTGATGAATACAATATGCAGTATGAATGCAAAACAAAGGACTCACTGGCGTCACGTCATGTTTGGAGCATTTCACTAACAACCAGTTACTTTTTATTGTTTTATTTACTAGATAAAGACAAAGTGGGTGAGAAAATTTTATGTTTTAATTTCTGTTTAGAAAGAGCAATTAAACAACTATTTTAATCAACTGGACAGTGTCCAGAGTGCTGAATGATAACGGAAATAATTAGGAGCGCCGCCAATGGACACCTTCTTGATTGGCTGTGAGTTAAATGGTCGGTACCTCCCAGTCTAACCCCGTCTCCTTCCAAATCCTTCTACTTGATTCTGGTAGTGAAGGAGCCCCAGGGGTGGATTTTGTCAGGGAGAATAGTAGAGTTGATCTGGAAGGCTTAAGACCTTACTGTACCTGTCAACAGTGTGGCTTTGGCACTGACGACCAGCAGCTTAAGTCATTTCAAGTTTTTTTTCTTTTTTTTTTAAACGAATAGGGGAGGAGGCACAGCGAGCGCTGACAGCCAGTCAGGGTCTTGAAATAATTCCATCCCTCTGAATAACCAGAGGTGTCTGTCTGAGTTAATCCTCCCCAACACACACACACGCACACTCACTTTGGCTATAAAAGCATGTTTTGGGGCTGATAGTGGCAGAAAGGGAAGCCTGAAGTCCAACTCAGTTCTATTGACTGATTAAAGTCAATAAAACCCATCAAAGTAAATTACAGGTTTTCCCAGAACTTGTTGCAGAAAACACAATGATATTAAAGGCTCAACAATGACTATCTATCGCAGCACAACAGAGTGAGGTTTTAAATTTTATTATTTTAGTGATATGACTAAACCCAAAAAGCACAGCTCAGAACAAAGGTATGGATTATTACTAAACTTTATCTCTTTTCTTGCAACTATAGTAAGCTAATCATTTGACAAGGAGTGTTTGTTTCACTCGAGTGCATAATGAGCCCCCATCATTAACCCTCTACTGCTGTGCTTGACAATTAGTATGAAGTATTTGAACTGACATTCTGTTTTTGATTTCTCCGATCACTGTCCTCTGCTTTGCGGCCAAACATCTCTACTTTGATCACATGAAATTAAGGATATTGTTCCAGAAGGCTTTTGGTTTATTCACAAGTAAATTTATAATTTGTCCTACTATATTCTTTTTAGAATGCAAATAATTTCCACCTATTTCTTACCGTCATGTCTTGAAGCTGACCATGAAGAGGATAACTGAGTCCTCTTTGTTATGCTTCTGAAGACTGTGACACATATACATATGCTCTATATATACTCTTATATTGATGGAGAGCAACACCTGCATCTCTAGGGTCATTACTGATGTTCCATGTTGGTAATTTATTACCACAGTTATTGGCTCTGCAGCAGTGGTTCTTGGTTCTCAAGGCACACAACCCTGCTTGGCTTAGATGCTTCTCTCCTTTAATGCATCTGACTGCAGCTCAGCATAACTCTGTTAATCAGCCATAAATTGAAATCAGGTGTGCTGAAGCAGAGAAACGCCTAAAATATGTGTTTTTGGAGTGTTTTAAAGACCAGGGTTGTGAAAAAACAAACTTTGGAGCAGCAAACTGGACAAACTTTATTTATAGAAATGGTTACTTTGATGATGCTCTGATGATCAATGCATTTAATCCACAGTACATACTACAATATTGATTTGCTCCCCAAAGAGCTGATTTCACAAAATAATATATCTGTAGAAAACACTGGTATAAATGTCAAGTTTTTCTCAGTTCAAAAATAATAATTAAAAAAATTCTCCTGTCATGATCTACACAAATATTAATCTATGATTAAGAAAAACAAAACAAACTAGATGTTTTCCACGTCTATATTGCTGATGTTTAATCATTTGTTTTTTGTATTTTGTATTAATTAACCAGTTAGCTCGAATTGTGCCATCTCTACCATAAGCTTATATTTCTTATGCCTTGATGTGGTTGCAGTCTGCCTGTCTTTGCAACAGAAATCTGCCATTTCAGAAAACATATTTTTGATTTTTTTAATCTGCGTCTTCATCGAGGCTTCACTCCCTGCTTCGCTCATTTCCTCCCCCTCTTCTTGGGTCTCATTACTTCCCTTCTACCGTCTTTCTCTTGGCTGGGATAATCCCCCCTGTAGGGGACTTCAAAGTGCGGGCCGGCCAGGGAAAAGCCTTAATTACCCATTTGCCTTGAAACTCAAGCCAAATCACAACTCGCCCGGGTCTGTCCGACTCCACACTCATGCCTCCCTTGACTAATTGTGCTTCAGAATCTCCCCCTACACTTCTCTCTCTCTTTCTCTCTCTCTCTCTGTTTCTCTCTTCCTCTCTCTGCTTCTTTTTCTACTGTGTGAAAATGGAACGATGAAATTAAATCAGAAAAGGAAAAATGGGGAAAGATGTGAAAATGTTTAAGGAGGTGATGAAAGTAATAATGGCCTTATTTCAGGGGAATCATTACCTTGGATACTACACTGGTGCTATGTAGATTTTCATGTTGTCTGTGGCTGTCATTCAAAGTGATGCTGCTGCAGAGCTTTGTGGAATAAGAACATTGTAAATTATCCCATCTAATTTGCCTGAATTCAAGCTGAAAAGCAATGGTGCTGCTTCTTTACATCAGATCCGACTACATTACATTGGGAATCTAACTGAGTGAAAGTAAGGTTCAACATCTTAATAAGCAGCACCACCACCTTTTGGGTGGCACGCTGTCTTGATTAGGGACACCAGGGCACCCATAATATATGCTTTTGTCAATGTTGACTGTGTCAGGTGAAATTATTTGAGGTTAAAGCATATATTTCATTCAAAATACGGGAAGAAATGAAACGTAGTGAATGATCTTGCCTTACAAGTCTATTATTAACTATTTAGATAGATTATGCTCACCCATAGGCCAATGAGTGTTTGTGTTAAAGTATTCACTTTCAATCACAGTAACATCTGACTTGTTAACTCTAGGTTGTACAAGGTATGATTTCAGATCATGTATTCTACTAAATGTCTACTAAAAGTAGAATACAAAGTAGAGTAAATCCACTCAGTGAATTTTTTTATACATTCAATGACTTCATTATTAAAGAAATATTAAGTAGGTCTATTTATTTACAGGCAACTGCAGGATGCCGTGTTACAGGTGTCTGCCTACCTGACTGCAGTTGGTGAGTTCATCGGACTTCATGCATTCATGCATCCATGCATACAAGCAGATATTTCCATAACATTTTAAACTGGACTTCCTCAGCATTTCTTAGTTACCAGCTCTTCATCATGGACTTTGATTGCTGAAACAAAAATAAACAAACTGAAGGATGCTTCTGTTATTTTGTGACTAAATTGAATTGCTTTTTTTTTTGGGTTCTTTAGTAGCAAACCACTCAGTGAATACTTCTCCAGGTTACAAATTATTTGCAAGGCTTTTCCCTGTAGCTGCTCTGTAACCAAATGCGATATTTGAATTTGTTTACACTAATTTAATAATTCCTTTGTACCAAGCAAAATTCTAAATGCAAGCCTAGAAAATGTCCTAGCTGCACATCCTTGCAAAATTCACAATAAATTGTTAAAAATGTGCTCTTTCACATCTAATTGGATTCATCTTATTGACACAGAGGCAGCTGCATGTAGTGGTGTACTATAATATTCTGTACGGACTTTTTAAAAACTTACAAAAGTTAGATTTTTCTGCACAAACCTTCTTGTTCACAAGTTCCAAATTTAAAGGCAGACATCAATATTATGGTCTGCTCTGCATTCCCAGAACCAGAACCAAACTAGGAAAAGCTGCATTTAGCTTCTATGCTCCACAAATCTGGAACAAAGTTCCAGAAAACTGTCAAACAGCCGAAACACTGACTTCCTTTGAATCTCGACTAAAACCCACCTGTTTAGAGTTGCTTTTGAAAGATAAACAATTATAAATTTAATGATGGCATCTTGACATAATGTAATGTTTTGATTGTTAATTCAATGTTGAATCAACATGACTTTGTGTTTTCATGATGTTGTTTACAAAGACATTTCAGAAACAATAAATAAAATTATTGTTGTTAAAATCTGAGATCTGTATGTAAATTGAAGAGACAAAACTGCTGATACAATTAAATGTAGACCTCATGGGCAATTTGACAAAATAGAAAGTATGAGGGGTTGATTTTGAATTGACAGCATGAATACATCTCTTTAGAGAGATGTTATGAATCTAGCCTACCCACCTCCATTAGCAGGTGTTTTTGCTGCTGTGGTTTCCGTCTCCCAGTTGTTCAGCAGTAAATATTTCCTTGCAAAAGTAATATTCTTACTATCTTCTGTCAAATCATCTTGAAGAATTTAAAAAATGAAGCAGACAAGTGAGATGGACGTTTGTAACATCTTGTATTTGTGCTCTGTTCTCATGCTGAGGCCTGGAAACTGACATGGAGAACCCCCAGCCTTCCACATCCAGGCCACTGCCAGTGCCGGTCAGAAATCACAAACAGAAAGGACAAACCAAAGAAAAACAGAGTAGTCATAGAAAAAACTATGTACAACCAAAACATCAAGGTGTGTTTTTTGTCACTAAAAGGCTGTTTAACAACCTTTATTTGATCCCATTCTGTACAACATGATTCAGTACAACAGTACAAATTGATCAGGTTCTGTTTGGACAAACAGATTGTGGCAGCCCGTGATTCGGATTGGTCAGAAAGTCACCCCTATTCATTCACAAAGGATGCACACAGCCTACAGGTTAAAAAAAGACAAGCTCTTTAGGAACGACAGCAAGCGCCTACACATGTAATTCAAACCATCCATGAAGAATAATCCATTCCAGAAGAATAAAAATAGATACAGGTCAGGATTCTCTGTGATTCTTCCTGAAAACCAGAACCGACGCTCCCAAAAACTTCCATCACCGAGTTCATCTTAGCCCAGGCTTGTTTTTCGCTCATTTATTTTTTATTTCTTTACACCCAAGCCAGAAAAAAAGCTACTAAAACTCAGGACTTTTACAGTTACATTGACAAAAAACAGTTTCAGAGACCCACAATTTAAATTGGACTGTAAAATAAAAGATTTAAAAAAAAAACAGCATTTTTTTTATAGTTCTGTAAAATGCCCCAGCATTCTCCAATTTTACAAATACTGTTATACTTTTACAGTAAACCAGAAAAATGTCATATATATTCATATATATTTATATATATACCAAAACCCGTCAAGAAAAATGAGAAGCAATGAAGAAGTAAAACTCAAAAGTTTTGAAGCAAAACTAATAAAGAAAAAGAGATTTACATACACAAAAAATGTATTTTAACCCTTGTATCAATACTGTAAACTTCTTCCAGACAGAGTGCACTAAATTCTGTTCTAGTTTCTGTTTTTCCTGATTTTTCTCCAGTTTTTGTGAGGTTTTTATTCACTTCCTGACGATCCGGTTTCGGGACAGACTTGTGTCCTTGTCTGTGTGGAATTTGATATAGATCTATATATATTCATAAAGGTTGTGCATTTATATGTACATATGCATACATATATATATACACACAGACACATTATTATTATTGTGCTGGGTAATTTGCTAATGCTAAACTTAAACTCATAATTTCCTGCTGATTTATTTATTTATTTTTTATCTGTTTGAGTGTCAGATTTCACTTTACAGTAAATTTGTCTTGGTTCAAATTTGATGCTTCAGGGAAAGCGTTACATTTGTCTCAGACAATAAATAGGAAGATCACAATTCAAGGCACACTCAAGTCAAATTGAATGGCAGTACATAAAATATCCAGAATAAATTAATATTCTAATTACTCCCATTATTCAGTTATTACATTTTTATAGTGCCAGCTTTGGGAAAGCTAAGCCTAACAATTGTGGCACTCCAGCATCAGGAGATCCCAAGCTCCACACCCTTTTTCCCACTTAGCTGTTTTGTTCGTGTGCATTGGATGGATAAATCATAAAGTGCCGGTTTGTTTCTGAGAACGGTCAGCATTTGAAATAAATGCGATTTGTTTATTTTTCATAAAAGTGCAACTATGAAGTTGGCTTAAAGCAAACAAATGGACTGGAAATTCAAAACATCCCAATGTGATGAAGAACATTTAAATCATTTTAATTTTAGTAAAATGTTGCTCTGCAAACTTCTAGTAAAATGTTGTTGATTCTCAATATTTGTCAGCTTTAAATAGTTTCATTACAGACATCTACTTAATTTTCTTTACATACCTAATCCCTTAGAATAAATTAAATTTGACTATGTTAGCCAAAAAATTTTAAATGTCGAAATTTCTAATATGATGTAGATGAAATGGTTTGAAAGGCAGCATAAGAACAAGCGGGTAAAAAATAAAAATAATAATTGAGTCGTTATATTTTACCCTGAGATGTCTATGTGCTCTTTCTGTTTCTCTGCCCTATGTATCTCTCTCTCTCTGCAGACTCATCATGGCTTCATGCTCGACAACTAATGATAACACCTACAAATCATGAGGCTTGGTGAAAAATATAATGCAGAGGTGTTTAATGTGATAAAAAGAGGTTCGAGGGGAAACTAGTAAGTTGTAGAATTGTAGGATTCAGCAGCTGTCATGTCGAGAACCTGTTTCCTCAGGCTGGTTAGGTTAAGGGTTTATGAATCTTGGGATCTTCTTTCGTTTGACATTTACTATTTGTTATGACACTCAGTGCTACATATCCAATTATATTGAAATGGTTTACAGTCATTTCATGCTACAATGCCAAAAAGGATTGTTGTCCGCATATCATCGTCACGCAAAATAAATTAAATCTCGCATCCGCAGTTGACTCTGAAATTGAAGATTGAATTTTGCTTCTTTTCAAGATATTAAAACAATTATTTTAATGTACAATTTCCTACAAGCTGTGTCCGAAAAACAAAGAGCCTAATTTTTATTTTTTTTTTAATTTTCTGTTTGGTTTGCTGAAGAGACTCTCAGGATGTCATGTGGGATAAAAAAAATGCAAACTTAAACAACAGTAAAAAAAAAAAAAAAATGTACCTGTACGTGCCAAAATACAAAATCCAATAAATACAGAAATTATTGCACAGTTAAAGGCTCCACATATTTAAAACTCATCAGACTGATTGTTTAAAAATGAATGCCAAATGAGGCAGTTTAGACAGCTTCAGTTGTTAAGATCTCGTTTTTTTTTTTTTTTTCTCAGTTGGCAGTTTTTTAATCAAAAACACAAAGTTAAACTAAAATCAATACAAAAGTATCCAGCTACCCCCTTAATTTGTTGTCCTTTTTTTAGAGTCCAAGGAGAATGGTGCAGAGCATGAAAACGTGTTTTAGACTCTCTCTGCTTGTTCGATTTTGACCTCACTGGTCATCAAATGTTCTCCATGCCACTTTTTCATGTGTTTCTCCAGAGTGCTGTACACACTGAAGGGCATTTGGCAAATGTCACAGCGGTAGACCTCCTTACCAAGCTGGCCGTGTGTCTTCATGTGGCGGGTGAGCTTGGAGCTCTGGGCGCATGCATAGTTGCACAGCTCACACTTGTAGGGCCTTTCTCCGGTGTGACTACGCCGGTGCACCGTCAGGTTGCTGCAGTTCTTGAACACCTTGCCACAGTATTCACAGGTGTCGCATCTCCTCCCATCCTTGGAGCTCGGTCGACCCGGACCAGGGCCTCCACCTAAATGAGGTGTGCTGCCCCCGCTGGCGGTGCCGCTGCGGCCGGATAGACCGCCGTCCAGCAGGTCTCCTGGAGGTGTCGAGAAGCGCAGGCTGCCGTTTTCCGATGAGTGCTCTGAGGAGGTGGCAAAGGGCGATTGTCTGGAGTCAGTGAAGCCTAAGAAAGGGTCTTTGATGAAGTGGCGAGAAGCAGCATAGCCCACCAACCACTGGGAGTACACATTCTCAGAAGGGATATGTGGTGCCTGGGGAATGTCCAAGTCCTTCTCAATCTTGATCCTCTTGTTTGAGGAGTTGGAGAGAGCGGGGCTGGTGATGGGGGTGGGCTTTCGAGGGAACAAGCCTGAGAAAGAGTCACCGGAGCCACAATTCCGGCCATTAATGGTTGTCCGCTCTTCCTGCTGGTGGTGGTCCATCTCTCCAGCCACAGAATCCTCGTCCCCAGTGTCCCGCTGGCCATCAGATCCCCTTTTGGAGAAGGGCATCCTTTTACGATTGTCAACTATCAAATTATTATACTGCTGAATGGAATTGAGCGCTCCACCATCTACCATTTTGTCAAGGGAGAGAGATGTCTTTTCTTCCGAAGGAGGCTTAGAACCATTTTCCCTGTTCCTGTAGAACTCAGACTCCATACTGAAGTTTGATTCTGGTCGACTCTCATTCTCCAGTTCCTCTTCTTCCTCTTCCTCCTCCTCTTCCTCATTACCCTCCCCCTGGAAATCTCCATCACGATTTTTAATGCCCTCCCCAGTGATATCACTGGTGCCTGGTTCTGGGGAGCTCGTGGTTGAAAGGCCATCGTCTGAGCGTCCCGTCATGGATCCAGCCTTGTGCATGTGCGTCTTCATGTGGCGTTTCAGCTTGCTCGCCTGAGAGCAGGCATGGTCACACAGCTGGCACTTGTATGGTTTTTCTCCAGTATGGCTCCGCCGGTGCACCACCAAGTTGCTCTGGAACTTGAACGTCTTACCACAAAACTCACAGGACTTGATCTTGTTCTGCGTCTGGGGAGGGGTGGTGCTGTTTGGGGGCATGGGTGGCAAAGGAGGGGTGCTCAGAAAGGGAGATTTAGGGCCTTGTTGAAAGGGATTGGGGTTTAGCAGTCGATGCATAGGGTTGGGCCTACTGGGGGAAAGTGGTGGCGTAGTGCTGTTTGTGTTCCCTGCCAGTTCACGTAACCGCCGGGAAAAATCCATGGACTGGGACTCCATGGCCATCGGCGTAAGCCGCATCACCCTCTCAAAGGCACTGGGGTGCTGTGAGATGAGGCCCATTTCCTCGGCGCTAAGGCGTTCCAGCCGATGGGGGTCCAGGTGATGACGGGGAGGTGGGCTGACAAACGGTGGGGTGTTAGGGAGACGGTTCTCCACAAAGCCTGGGGGTGGTTCTCTGAGTAAAGGCCCTGTCATCCTCAGCAGGTGGAAGGGATTGTTTTCCCCCAGGAAGCTGGTGAGTGGGGACTGTGGGATGGAGTCATTGCCCATGGGCGGCGGCATGGTGAGTCGAGGGGTGAGGGCTGTGCTGGAGGGGTTGGATTCCAGATAGATGCGAATGCCGTGAGTGTTCTGGGCATGCTGCAGCAGGAACCAGGCGCTGGGGAAAGGCTGCTTACAGGTGGTACATATGTAGTTGGAGGGCTCATCTCTGCCACCTGCAGACACACAAAAACAGAATAAAGATTTTACAGTTAATATTCTCAGAGATATTAACCCTAAACGTAACTCTATCCTATCTTGAAACATTAACAATAGATGTTTTATTATTAAGAGCTCATTTGCAGTGTATAAACTTTTCAACTGAGACAATGAGATGTGGTAAATACTTATTATTCTATTTAATACTCTCAGTAGCTGGGAAGACCTTTTTCTCATCTGTCGCAGATATGTGATGTACTCATCACGCTTTTGACAAGTGAACTTTCACAGTCGGCCTACAACGAATATGTGTTTAAAGAGGTGCTTAATCTTTCACTAAGGGAAATATCTTTCCTTTCACTTCAGTTTAGTCAACCAGGGATTCCCCTTACTGCAGACATATGCACTGTAACTCCAACCTTGAAATTATTTATACAGTCTTTATTTTCTTTAACAGAAACTAATCTATTTGTTTTTCTGACTGATTTAAAGATACCGTAGACACACACACCAAAAACAGAGATGATACTAATTGTGCTTTTTTATTCTAGTGTATTTATTTAATGAAACCTTGTTTTCTTGACCTACTGCACTAATTTCACATCGCTTGGAAAACATATGCTGCTCTAATTGTTGCCCTTGTTTGCATGCAAGTGTGTGTGCGTGTGGGGGTGTGTGTGTGGGGGGGTGTGTTGGCTCACTGGGAGTAAGGCTGAAATGCATTTGCTTTACGAGGAACATTTATTTATTTAAAACAAATAGCAAATAAATAGAATTGTGTCTCCAATTCGCAATAATTGAAATTTAAGACATTTAAATGTAAACTAAATATTCAAAAAAAAAGAAAACACAAAGGATATTTTTTTACAATGATATTAGTCATAAAAATAATAAATAAAACTTGAATTATTCATGAATTTGTCTCACTCTGTGAGTGTGTTTGCATTAAGGAGGAGCAGCGTGGAGGTGGAACAGCTGTTCTCCTCTACAGTCCTGTAAGGCCTTTTGACTTAATTATAGCAGACAGGACGTTCACACACACTCACACACTCTCACTTGTACAGTGAAAATAACAGCTCCCCATGTCTCAGCTTTTGTCTGCATGCTTCTCACAAGCTGTTTTAGTGTCGAATCTTAACACTCCAAAGAAAGAAACATTCACTCCCTCTGCCCCTTCCTCCATCTTTCTGCAAACTTCTCATTTGATCAGTGAAGTCATTTAGGAGTGTGTGTGAGTGTGTTTTGGAGAGTGAAATAATGCACCGAGACGCTATTTGTCTCCGGTCACAGTGGAAACAGAGGGCCATGGTTTTTGTCTTGGGGAAGTGTACGAGTGTGTGAGTGAGAGACAGAGTGCGAGGGAGAGAGAGAGGGAAAGAGAGCGCCCTCCCGGGGGAAGGGAGTCTAACGCAGATGGCAAATAAAGTATGCAGCCTGAGGCGAGAGCACATTATGCTAATTCTAATGTCAGCTGTACTTTAATATACGACTCTATTTAATCACCCCATTATTTTCTATTTCCATATGAAAAAGCAGGGAGAGCGAATGAGCTGCTCATCACTTTATTTGGTCGAATGCTGAGTGCTATGCTTTATGGAGTGAAGGAGAAAACACTGCACAGATACTTCTTTCCTCTCTGAGCGTTACTGTACACACACACGCACACACACACAAGTGCACACACCAACTCTTTGAATTATGATCTCCTGTATGAGTATTTACACTGACTATGTCTGTAAAGGTTACACAAGTTCACTGACATCTTTTTATAGAAGGTTTCAATGGTCACAGGCTGAACATTCACAGAGAGATAAACCATCTTATGCTTGCAGCATCCTGGAAGTCAAAACAGTTTATTCCAACTTTTAGCATGCATCTGATTTTAGTGACAAACAGTAGATCAGACTCTGATGCTCTGCAAGCAGTCAGGGAAGTGATTAAGATTCTACCAAGAGTGACGTCAAATATTCACGCGTCTAAGTAATCTGTTGGAAATTTTTTATGGAATAACAATTATACACAATAAATGGTTTTATTAAATATTCTGAAGTCAAAATATTTGATGTAATTTTTTTTTTAAATTAAGGAATAAAAAAGATAAGCAATCCTTTTGGAAATGCATAGCCTTACATATTCAAGACTTTGTTTAAAAAACATGACCATAAGTGTGTATTTCAGTAATTAATTTCCATAAAATAAATATATTGTTGCATGAGAGTAAATAAAACATAATGCAGTTTTGAACATTTGTTTTTAATATTTAAAAAAAAATCTAATTTGGAAATTCACTAGTATTAGTGTTTACTTCTAGAGTAAACAGAAGAAGAATAAGCAAAAATTCAATTGATTGCAATTAACATGCATGCACAGAATGAAACTAAATAATTCAATAAATAGCTTATCAATAAAAAAATAAAAAGTGCATATATATATAAACTTAAGGCCAATTTAGAGTCTCAAATTCAATGTGTTTGACATTTGGACGGATATAGGAAACCCTTAGAAAACGGGGGTTTCCTCTCAGATACACAGAGAGGACATGTGAACTCTGAATCATCTTTAGCTCTTCACCTCCCCCAGTCTGATTGGAGTCTGTTAGGTATTCATTAAAATCTGTAAAGTTTCATCCAATATAAAATTATTTAAGGTCTTTGTGTAATAAAAACACTCATTAAAAAATTATGAACATCATTGTGTCCGAAGCACAATTTAATCCAATAGCTATTTATACACCTTTTGCAGCTACATGATTTTGGTGAACAAAGTGTACTCATTATGTGAATAAAGTGAAGTCTTCAAATCATTTTTAGAGTATTTCAAACAATCAAATAATAATTTACACCAGATGTTGTGGAGAAAAGAAAAAAGTGGTGGTCAAAATTGAAAAAGAGACACTTTGCTTAAATTTAGGTTTGCTCACACATGGATTGCTAAAGTTGAGCTTAACATATTGCTACAGTATTTTAAAGTAGAAAGATGATGACTTCATCATATTTGGAGAACAAAATTGTGTATAATTGATCTTAATTTTAGACATGTCAGCCCACTTTTAAAAGCAGAATAGAAAGAAGCAGCTTCATATTTTCTGGATCTGGTTCACAGCAGCTTTCTAGCTTGTAATCTCATCATTTTTCTGCAGAACTCTTTAATCTGAGCTTTAATAGTTCAAGTCTTCTGTTTTTGTTCAATTTCAGAACCGAGACACTAAATAAATCTGATTTCTTTTTCTCTACCTCACTGATTGAGTCTCAGTTTCACATTCAGAAAAAATTGGCTTATTCTTTACACTTTCTCTCATTCCTCGTCTCTGTGTTGTTGTTTCTGTGGGCCGATGATTAATAAAAGGGAGTGTTGTCATCTTCTTCATGTTCCATTCAGTAGTCTCCAAAGCGGATCATCTGCTTTTATATCTCCAGCATCCTCCTCTGACCCATGTCCTATGGACAAACTTTACTTGTGATCTTCCTCTTTTTTTTCTCTCTGACATCGCCATATTCAACATCTTTTGTCCAGTATATATCCTCTGTCCTTCTGTCAATGTCAATTTGTCTCCAAACTTCTCCAAAACGCGTGACTAAATGTGAGAAAAAATATTTGTGACTCTCCACAAAATGAATGAAACTTGAGCATCAGTTTGTGAACGGATGAAAAAAAAAATATGATCAGCTGGAGATCAGACAAAACATTAAACAAAAGACCTCTCAGTTATCGAGTCAACAGGCTGCATACATGTTGCACATAAATATATTTTGTAATTATCTCAAGTTAATGGTGTTCAAACAGGACTTTTATGATAGAGAGAGGGCAACATTGGAGGAAAAGCTCTAATGTTTTCTATTGTTTCCATTATTACTTGTTGCCAGTACTTTAAACTAAAAGAAAAATTTCAAAAGTGCTCATAAATGTCTCTTAATTTATATATATTGTGACCATCTTAGAGTTCTTAAAAAGCACAGAGGATATTGTTCTCTGTTAACAATGATAACAGAATGAAAAAGAAAAAGACATGAGTGAATAATTACACACTTACTGCTTTCCTGGTCAGTGGGATAGAGGTGCGTCTTAACATGATGCCAAGGCAGAATAACATAAGAATTGATTTTAGAGGTGCAACTATTTCTCTACATCACTATGGGAAAAATTATGAGTTTATTTTCAAACTCTTTGAATCATCACCATCATTCTGCATCATTCTGCAACCATAAAATATTCCAGCTAGTTGCTAGCAAGTTCAACTAAAATTTAGACTGAGCAATGCTTAGACAAGTGATTAAAAAAACTGACTCCACAGGCTTGAATTAGAATGTTGAATGGTAAACTTCATGGCAGCACAATTAAAATAAAAACTGAAGAAGGAGCTTGTTTAGAGAAGTTGAAAGAGAACGTTTTTCTCTCTTAAGGTCTGAAAAACTTCATCTAATGGACCTATTGCAAGACTAAAGACCAAATATTTTTTTTAATGACTTCCAAACCTTGTAGTGATTTAACCATTCTGTGAATTTCTCTGCACACCAAAGTTTAAGTTTGAGGCCATTTGTTCAAGGCTTGGTCATAACTGGTTCATTTGAGGCAACTATGGAAAGAACAAGTCAAGATTTATGGCTGCTAAAGTTTCTCCCATGAGCTGCTGAACCATAGAGTGTAATTAGTTTTTTACTCATTATGTTTCCGTTCTTGGTTCCTCTTTGTGTGGTGAATACTTTCACTGTGTAATTTTACATTTTTCTTGTACATTTGAGGATAATTTATAAGAGTTTAGAATCTGGTAAAGAACTAATCTTTTATGTGTGCTATGGTTTATTGAACCCTTATAAAAGTAACCATAATATTTACCCAAATCCAATTCTCCATACCGCATCTTCCTATCTTTCCTTCAGATGAAACTCCACCTCCCACTTTTTCCACACAGAATCAAACTCTCATTACACACTGATTCCAGTTTTCACTATGATTCAATTTGCTGTAATTACTGCTGCTGCTGCTAATAAAAAAGGAGGAAGAGAGAGTAGAAAAGCAA